AAATCAGAAAATTATTTCTGTTCTGAATTCCAAGGGAGGCTAATTTTAAAATCCTTAATTCGTCCATTAATTTATTAATTTATTATCATTTTTTCCTATTCAATTTGATTGGAATGATTTACTCTGCTTATAGGGCTCATTTCTTACAAACATAAATATAATTTTTTTTAACTATATTTGAATTTTTAAAACAAAAGCCACAAGTCTCCGAAACCACAACTAAAAATCAAAGATATTTGATTGGAAACCGCAATTTACAAAGGTTCCAAATGAATTTGATTTAAATATTTAAATAATTATTATGCAACTTTATTTATAAATTAAATAATCAAATTGGCTAGCATTTTTTTTTTTTTTAAAAATAGTGATAAATCAATTATTTAAATGCTGATTTTGAAAATAATCCGTTTTTAAAATGGAACTAAATATTTGATTGATGATTTACATTTTTGATGTAACACAATGTTTAAATGCGCCATACAAAATATTTATTCGTCATTTTTTTTAAATATTTTACAATTTTTAAAAGCACAAAGCGATTAAAATTATTTTGTAAGCTCATGAATTCGAATCTTCTTGACAATTTATATAAATAACAACAAAATTATAATATAGATTTGCATATTCAAATGCATTTACACAACAAAAATAAATCAATAAAATATTTTGTCCGTAAGGCAGTTAAATTTTACACTTACATTATATTAACCAATAAAAATATTAATAAAAAAGTCATTTTATTAAATAAAATATCTAAATGATATTAACATACAAGAACATATTCTAACTTTTTCCAAGTTATTTATTTTATTTCATAGTCAATAATAAAAAATAAGTCAATTTTAATTTTTAATAAGAATAAGAAACAAAGTTATTTTCCAGAACACAATTAGCTGATTGCTTCACATGTCCTGCGACTGAGCGCAACAATTATGTATGTGTGGGAATAAAAATCGTAGCATACTTTTAAGCTGTTGCACCAAAGTGAAACTGCAAAAGCCCAAAACGGTAGCAAATTTTCAGTGATTGGAAGGGGGAGCAGAGGTAGTTAAAAAGTGTTAACAGTCATTTGCAGTTGTTGTTTACCTTGGAATTTGTTTAATTTGCCTTTTTAATTGGTTTGTTGCAAATTGTTTCAATTTATGTTGGTTGCATATTTTGTTGTTGTGAACACACTTGAGATGAAGTTTTGCCACACACACGGGCACGCACACACACGCACAGGCACACTCGCAGACGCATACACACGCACACACATACACACACGCACAAAGAAACGCGCGCGCGGGCGATGCCAAAAAGGCAAAAGAGAAGTTTATTGTTGTTGTTGTTGTTGTGCGAGGGCAGCTGTCGAGCGGAGCGCGCGGGGCACACACACGTTTTTTTTTTTCAAAATCTCGTCACTTTTCTTGTTGTTGTTGTTGTTGCTGCTGTTGCATGCACATAGATGGTTTTTATTTAAAATATTTTTTTTTATTTAATTTAATACTTATTTGATTTAATTTATGTTGTTTTTTTTCTCTCTCTTGATTTTTGCACAAACTGTTGGGCGCTGTTGAGACGTTAGACGAACGCCAAAATCAAACGCGGCAACTGTGCGAGAAAAGTGCGTCCTGTCTGGTTGTACCCTAACGACTTAATGCGCTCAACGCAGCTTTTCACACGACCATGGACCGGAGCTGAGCGCAGCAGGAATAGCCAAGCAGCAAAGCTGTGAAGCTGCTTCCAACCAAATGAGAGAGAGAGACGAGACGGATTGAGAGCGAAGCGTATCTCATGTGTATGCTGTGGCTCAATGCTTGAGTGAAAGCTTCGCTCACTGGAATGTTTACAGTTGAGCAGAGCAGCGCCGGCAGCGACGCCAGCAGCGTGGGATGCTGCCACTGCTGCTTCTACTGCTGCTGCTGGTCAATGTCTCTATACCTGCAAAAATAATGGCGCTCGCTGCTTGGCAAACTTTTATTAATGAGCGACAAGTGTGCCCAGGCTACTGCAGCACGCTCAACATGTGCGCGCGTCCCACTGCCCGCTCCAAAAAAGACAAAAAAAAAAAAATAGCAGAACAAAAGAGTATTGAGTCAGCCCCCATACTCACGCCCTGTCTCCTGCCAAAGATGACACTCGGCCCGCTTGTTAATGACTGTCTAATATTTTAGAGCTGACCACCAGCTGCTCCGATTGATAACGGTAAAATCGCCAAAAGCCCAAGCAGCGTGAAAGCTGCTCTGGACTGTTGCACAGTGGTACAAGATGCACACAAATCGCAAAAGGGAATTTCATTTAATACGTGAGTAAAACCAATTTTCCTTATACTAAATGTTTAATTTTACATAATTTTTGACCGAATCGTAAAAAATGTGCATTACATTTATTTTGATTGCTTATAGCTTTATTTTAAATTGATTTTCCTGAGGAATCAAAAATTGGCAATTTTGAAGTATGCAGCATTTTTCCTTATTGCTTCTAAAATTTATATTAATAAGGCATTTTCTATTCGAAATAATTACTTCGATTTATAAAGCACTCATTTGGATTTCTGTTCCGAATGATTTTAATATGCAAAAAATATCTTTTTTGCCAACTAAAAAAATTTAATCCTCTTCAACGATTTCTTTTGTAGAAAAAATTTAATTTAATTTAAATTAGATAAAATACACAGAAGTTGTTAAAAAAAAAAAAATCAAAAAGTCATGTTTGAATGAAATTTCATGCCGATTGAAAGGGTTTTCAGTTCTGAAAGTTCTAATTTTAAAGCGAGAACGTGTAAAATTCCGAGTTAAACAGAATACAAATAAATATAAAATGGAATTGAAAACACAAGAGAGTGAGAACTAAAGCTCTTAATTTGATGTCAAAACATATTATGTTTTAACAAATTAATCAGGAATTTATTTGTAAGCGATGCCCTTTTATTTTCAACCGCTCTCAACCCACTGTGCACACAGGACCTAGATTAAACAGTTGTTGTTGCTATTGTTGTTGTTGTAGTGGCTATTACGGATTTATTTTGTAGCTTATGAACAACATGAATAATGTAAACCAATAAAATTAAGTGCATTAATTCGAAATGCCTATTGTTTTCGTACTCTGAAATGCGTCTTTGTTTGCATGCGCCAGAAGCGAAATGCTCAATGCAATCCATAAATTATCTATATATATACACAAATGTTTATCTATATATATATATATATGGTATATCTCAGCCTCTCAGGCAGCTTGTATGTAGGTCAAATCACAGATAGATGCATTTGCGACTAATTCTAATTGCATTAATCATGTCCAAATGAGCTAGTTTAAATGGAGGCCCAAGTCGTCGTCGCCTAGACCTTCTCCAATTGCACAAATCGTTCGCGTTTATACTGATCAAAATAGCTGCCCACAAAATTGAGCCGTCCCTGATACTTCAGATTCATAATGGTTTTGACCAGCGGCGGATGCTCGTTGCCCAATTCCAGCCACAATTTGCCGCCGGGTCGCAGATGGCGACAGGCCAGGTCGAAGACCAAACGCGCCACACGCAAACCATCCGAGCCGCCATCCAGTGCATTCAGGTTCTCATAGCTGCGGGCGAGAAAACAACATATGAAATATCAGATCAGAATAAATTTATAATAGCAGATAGGCAGGCTTTGCCTGAGCCAAGCTTTAGTTTCTTTAAGGCTCTAATTACTATCCGATCCTTTTTCAGGAATTGAATTTTATAAGCTTTGCAAAATTAGTTTGAAACGGATCGGAAGAAAATTAAAATGTTGTCAAGATTATTTTGCAAAACTCTCAGAAAACGCAAATGTTTCGAGAGCAGATGGGATGTAAACAAAATGTTTCACTTAAATGATTTTCACCAATTTTTCGCTTTTGCAAGAGAAATATATATATATATACATATATAGATATAGGACTTACACGACCACCTCGGGATGAAGGAACTGAAACTCTTCGGTCTTCACGTAGGGAGGATTTGATATGATCAGATCGTATTGCTTATCCTGCAGCTCAGTCGGCATATAGTTATCCTCTTCCATGGTATGATTGTGGACCTTGAAACGATCCTGCAGGCCCAGCAGATTCGCATTTTCCCAGGCTAGCACAGTGGCCACTTTGCTGCGCTCGATGGCCGTTGCTTCCACCTGGGGTAAGGCGTGCAGCACGGACAGCGACATGGCGCCGGAGCCGCAGCCCACCTCCAGCATATTCACGTGCTTGGCTTGCCTGTAGTTCTCGATGACCAGACGCACAAATTCTTCGGTTTCGGGGCGTGGTATGAACACAGTAGGCGCCGTCTTAAGCGTAATATCCATGAAATCCCATTCGCCGATGATGTGCTGCAGCGGCATGCGGGCGCAGCGTGCCTCCAGAAAGCGCTCAAAATTCGCCAGCTGCTCGGAGCTGAATTTCAGCTGAGTAAAGTCATCTGGCACGGTGTTCTATTTGGTTTGGTTTTCATTTAGAGAGAGTTCTATATACATATACAGGGTATTACTCACAAATTTACGGTTCAGCACATGCGACACAATGCACTTGATATTGAACTCAGTGTCTTGGATGCCCGCGGCCTTCAGCTTGTCCGCCCAGCCATTGATCGCCTGGTTGACCTCAATCAATGGACCGCCAGTTGTGCTGGTCGGCGATGTTGTTGTTGTTTTTGTGCTGCTACCGCTTAGATTGCTGCAAAGCGAACGCGTAGCACTGCGCGTCGCTGTTAGCAGCGGTCTTGCTAAATATTTGAGCATTGTTTAATTCAGTTTTATTACCTAATAAATTGATTACAATTTTGTACTGTCTACGGGCCGAAATTCATGAAACAGCTGTTCATGGTCGATTAATCGGCAGCCACCACAATAAAAACGATAGTCGTGTAGCGATAACAGCTAGAGATGAGCAAAAAACAGTCACGAAAAATAAACCATACACGAAATATAAATGCAAACAAAATGTTTATTAGGGGATTTACACGGATTTATTATTAAATAGCTAGAAAAGTAATAAATAAATTAAAGTTATTCGGTGAAAAGTCAACAACTTATTAATATAAGAGTTAACAAAACAAATATTGCACATACAATTCAAAATTGCACTCAGCTATCTGGTTCGTCCACTTTGGGCGCCAGATAGTAGCGTATATAGCCGTAATCCTCAATGGGATACTCCACCAGCAGCGGCACTTCGGGCGCCATGCTAATCTTCACCTTCTCCGACAGGGGCGTGGCACGTGTAAAAGTGTTCAAATAGCGTCCGGCAAAGGAGAGTGTGACTGGCTCCTCCACCTGCACGCTAACATCTCCCTTGCTGGTTTCACTCAGCTTAATGTTGACCGAACCCATCTCGCCGTTGGCAGAGAATTTAATGCCATCCTTGGTGCAGGCAATCACCACAGACTCGCTGAACGTGGACAGGTCGCGACAGATGCGTGCGAATTCCGTGGCTGGCATGTGAACCACGCAAGCGTAGTCTGTCTCGGGTATGGCCAAATGTTCCTGGTCCAGATTGAGCAGACGCAGCTCATAGTCGGCGGTACGATCCATGCTGGCCGACTCAAAGCTCAGCTGCAGCTTGTCCGCCTTGTCCGCGCTTTTGATGGTGACGGCATCATCGCCGCTGGCGCACTTGAGCACCTTGGTCAGGGATCTGAGATCCAGGCCCAGCGACAAATTGCGATCGCAGCGATATTTCTCAAAGCAGTCGCTACGCAGGCTCATGGATACCAGCGAGACATGCGAATTGTCCATGGCCTGCAACTGGAGTGGAATTTTGTTATTGTTTTTACCCGTGACAATGTGACATGGGAGCTTGCCTGTATGCCAGAATCGCTGCAGTCGAGTGTGCTTTGGTGTAATATCTCTTTGAGCGCATCCACAATCTTTTTTAGCAGCGCTGTGCTGCTCAAGCGTGCCTCAAACATTGTTGCAAGTTTTCCTTAATAATTTCACAATTGTAAAAGGCAAAATGTCACATAAAATTATGACTGCCATAAAATGCCCTGTAAAAGGATTGTCAAAGTAAATGCGCCTAACTTAAATGGAAACTATGTTATTTGCACACCTTTACGAATAGCTTGCCCTTATTGCAATTAGAAATGGTTTTAGTGTGTAAAAACAAAACAAGTGTCGACTGATAAATAAACAACGCAGCGATAGTCAAATGTTAGAACGATGTAAATTATATCGAAAATGACTATCGGCCGCCTCCATATGCTATGTTAACAGTATGTTACAGTGAAATGTTACTTACAGCTGCTAGAATAAAAAAGAGGTTTAATTAAACATATTAAAATCGGAGCGCAATAATACGCCGAGGATACACTCTTATCTACTCGTCGATTATTATTGTATTATTATTGTTGTGATATTAATGTGACTATCGCTGACCGCCACTTGCAGTGCTTGTGCCTAACGATAACAGCACCCTGTTATTGTTGTTGTTGTTGCTGCTGCCAACCAACAGCTGCTAAAATAATAATCACAAAAACAGTTATTGTTAGCATTTTCCAATTAGTTAATTGAATATAATTTATTTAAAAATGTTTTATAATGCCATGGAGTATTTAGAAAGCTAGTGCAATATTGGCAAATACTACAAATGGCTGCAGACGAGCAGCAAAGTGCACCCAGCGATTGGCTGCTGTGGTGTCGCCTTTGCGCCAAGGACGATCTCCAGGGAAATATAAATGTGTTTTTGAAAAACGAACAGACTCCAGCTCCGGGCGAGCAAATGGCAGATGGCAATGGAGCAGCAGCTGGTGCTGCTGCAGTCAGCGACCTGGCTCTTGCCACAGCCATTGGCAAATACTTCTGGGTGAATGTGAGTGGCTGAGGATTGGATAGAATTTCTATACAGATAAGCAATATTTGTAGATAACACGCGGCGAGGAGCTGCCGGAGATGATATGCAGCGAGTGCCTGAGCTTGGTGACATCGCTGGTCAATTTTTCGGAGCGCATAACACGCGTGCAAAAGCTCTATTGCATATTGCAGAGCACGCCCAAGGATTCGGTCAATATGCAGGAGCTGCGCGCCAGATTTGGGCTGCTCGAGGAGCGGCAGCAGCAGTTGGAGGCAGAGCCGGAGACGCTAACCGAAGTGCATTATGTGGAGGAGAAGCCGAAGCTGACTGAACTGGAGGAGACGTCGTTGGAGTTGGAAAATCCGCTCACGCCGTGCGCACAAAGTGTGGAGATGAAAACAGTTGACCAGCTGGAACGAGTGGAAGCCGCAGCAGTTGACCAAGAAGATCAGCTAGAGAATGAAGATGAACAGGCGGAGGAGGGAATGGAGGAGGACGAAGAGGAGCAGGAGCTGGAGCAGGCGCAGTCCGGCTATGAAGATGCGGGCACGGAGCTGCTGCTGAATCTATGCGAAGCATACAGCCACGATGAGACCAACTCCTTGGATAGCGCCAAGCCTGCCCAGCCGAAGACGCACAAAACCAGGCCAGGCAAATCCTATCAATGCAGCGAATGCCCCCGGATTTACGCATTGCCGCAAACGCTGCAGCGGCACATGCGCCAGGACCATGACAAGACCGAAGTAGACTCCACCAAGCTGATAGCCTGTGAGCAGTGCGAGAAGCAGTTCCGGTCCCGCTACCAGCTGCAGCGGCACATGCAACAGCATCTGCCCATGCCGAAGCGCAAGCGTTATCCATGCGGCAGCTGTGGCAAGAAGTTCACCACGAACGCCTCCGCCCAATCGCACGCCCAGTATATGCATCAGGAGGAGCGACCACGTCCGGTCATCTGTGAGCAATGTGGCGTGGCGGTGCATTCGCTGCACGCGCTCAAGGAGCATCTGCTCAGCCACACGGATTACGCGCCGTACGAGTGCGATGTGTGCAAGAAGTGCTTCAAGAGCGTAAGCCGGCTGAAGCATCACAAGGAGACGCACGATCCACACAAGTACATCTGCCCGGAGTGCGGCATGCAGCTGAATTCGCGACCCACGCTCAATCGCCATCGCCTGGTTCACACGGATCAGATGCAGCACAAGTGCGACTATTGCGGCAGGGAGTTCAAGCGTGCCAAGGCTCTCAAGAATCATCTCATTCTGCACACAGGACTGAAACCGTACTCGTGCGATTTCTGTGACCGCACCTTTGCCAACGGCTCCAATTGCCGCACGCACAAAAAGAAGTCACATCCCGAGGAGCTGGCCGCACAGGAGGCGGCAGGCGGCGGCAAGAGCTACAATCGCAACATACCCAAGCTGGAGGCGCTCAAAGCATTGTGGGTATAGCTTGAGGATTGGCTCGAAAAACATTTATAGTTATATATATATATCTATTTATGCTCGCTTGCAGCACGAAGAACAAGGACAATCTGTCGCCGGTGGCCACCAAGCAGAGCGGCTGCTTCGCCTTCGGCAAGAAGCCCAAAGCGCCAACAGCGAAAGCAGCTGAGCTGCCCTTCCCGAGTCCAGCAACTGGCATACCCACCATAGAAAACATTTACAATCATCTAATGAAGCCCGAGCTGCCGCCACAGCCACAGCAGCAGCTGGTCCTGGCCAGCGATGGCAGCGCAAGCATTCTGCCAGTGGAGCAGGCGGAGTCCAGCGCCACGCAAATCTTTTCCTATTAGACTCCAATTGGGCGCGCATTTTTGAATTGTCGCCGCGCACTGCGCATGTCCATGTCAGAGGCGGGCGCACAGTCACCCCCATGGATGTTTTTTTTTTTATTTTTTATATGGGGGTAGCGCCAAATGGCCAATATCCTTTATGAAGGAATTTAGTTCAGTTGACAGCGTGCGCTTCCTCGTGTCTGCTACGGCAGGGAATTTGTTTAAAATTGACTTAAACGCTAAACAAAAAAAAAACTTTATTAAAGCAAGCATTGGAGAACGCGTTTAACCATGTGCCACCAGGCGCCAATGTGCATTAATAAAAGTGCTTAACATATTTAAAATAATCAAATTTTTAATTTTTATACTGCGAGCAGAAAATCAAAAAAAAAAAAAAAAATCGATTTCTCACCAATGAAAACAAAGTGCTTTAAAAAGCGTTAATTACAGCGCAGGCGGCTCAACAAATTCAAGAAACCAATTTAAAAAAAACATAGTTAAGCCGCAGCGCAACGTTTAAAATGTATAAACAAATGCAGAAAACAAGCTAAACAAGTGCCCGAAACAAAATCAAAGCGAGCAGCAAGTCAAACAAAAAGCCGCCAGTAATTAAAACAAACAGCTGTGAAACCAATCAAATTTAATGCAAGCATATCAAGTGCGTCTTTTTGTTTTTTTAAAAAGCAATAGAAAAACACAAGCAGTTTAGTAAACTTATTTAATTTAAATAACTTTTAGCAGCAGCTGCTTGCTGACCCATCCCTGGACCTATCACTTAACATGACCATTTTGAGTACGTAACAGTGCCATTACGAGTTTATGCTACTGTTAAACTAACTGAAAGATAAAACCAAAAAAAAAAAAAAAAAAAACAACAAACGAACGCGTCGTGCTCGCGCTGCACACAGTGCAAATTGAAGAAAATAGTGCGAAATATTTTCCGCGAAATTCAGTGTGTAAGTAAGTTATCAATTACTATTAGTAACAATCAATAAAATAAGCGTGTTCTTGCCTAAGTTGTGTTTGCTTTGCTTGCACAAGCAGCGCGCTGCTCTTGTCGTCGCAGTCGGCGTTTTTCACTTGTTTTTTTACGCACGTACGCGCCGCTATGTATGTGTGTGTATATGTGTGTGTGTGTAAGTGTTTGTATAAAAAAAGATCGATTTGCTTGTAATTTTCAATTCTAATTGTGCATTTCAACAATTAAATTACGTCGGTATGCTAAGCCAGCGCCAGCGCCAGCAGCGCAGCTAACATGTGCAGAGCTGCTTAGCTGTTGTTGTTATAGTTTCTGCTGCGGCGGCTGCTGTCGTTATTGAACGGGTCCAGCGGCTGCGTAGGCGGGCCTGAACGCAGCCAGTTTATATGTTTACAACAACAACAACAACAACAATAATTTAACAGCGCGCGCCAGTCGAAAGTTGAAGCAACAGTGCATTCTAATTGGACTCTGTCCTAGGCGAGCTGTTATCCCCTGCCTACCCGCTGCCCATAAACCCTATCATAACCACAACAACCAAAAAGTGCAGCAGCAGCAGCAGCGAAGCAAGAAGAAGCGACATGAAAAGTTTTGTGACTTAGCGGTACTTGCTATCTGTGTGCAAATGCGTGTGTATGTATGTGTTTTTTGTTTTTATACGCTGTTCACAATGTGAAACAGGGGGTATATTCGATTCTTGGAGCTAGGCCACAAACGCACGCAGCGCTTAAGACTGCTTTAAGCTGTGTAAAGAGCATTTCGCAGTCGGCTATTGGTAGGTTTTTTTTTTATTTATGTTTGTGTTAGCCGCGAACCGCATTATCCTTTTGGCTTGACCCAAATTGCAATGCCCTTTAGAACTTGCAATCATTTGCTTTTGTTCAACTTTTTGTTGCTTTCTTTTGTCCAAACTTTATTGGACGTGCAGCAGCACCTACACAACGCCCCTGCCCGCACCATGCCCCCACCCCTGCCAGCCGGGCTGTTGTTATCATTTAATGTGCGGCCAGTTAATTGCCTGCACTCCGAGAGCAGCAGAAACTTTAACAAACTGTCGCCTTTAACTATTTTTATCAGTCCGAAAGTTTTTAAAAGTGTTATGTTAGCACTCTTCGCCGCCCCCCACCGCACCCCCCTCCCCCCGTCACATTGCTTAACAAATTAAAATTGGAACACCCGCCCACGCCCGCTGGCTGTCTCATTAGTTGGCCATTAATGGAGTTTTGTGCCAAATGGGCCTGTCAAAACTAAGAATTTCCTTATTGAAATTGCTTCGTTATAAGCGCCCCTCCCCACTACATCCCGCTGCTGCCCTACTTGCTTAACCGAATCAGAGCCGGAATCAATAAGCTTTGCGAGCGTTTCTTATGCTCATTTCCTTCTTTTGCTGCCCCCAAAAAAAATGACTTTTCATTTGCTGAATCTAAAACTAAGGTAGAAGCAGGATACGGGTTGCTGTAGGGGGGGGGGGGGGGGGGGGGGGGGCACTTTAATTAGTTGCTCGCATCTCGGAATCGTTGGGCAATTTTTGAGATTCGTTTTGGTGCGCATATGGATGCATTTTGTGCGTCCCACTGGGCACACATAAGGGTTGCAACCAGTTCCTTGACTAGGGTCAGAATGGTTCCCTTTAATTGTTGCTGCTGCGGATGAGGGGGAAGTGTTCCATCTAAACGTGTCCTGTATCTATATTTAAACTGCCGCAGGAATGGACTATTCCGTTTAAAAATAAATGTGTCAAAGCAGTTGGGGAAATGAAACGAAATTGAGTTATGGAACAGCGGGGTTGCATTGATTTCTATGCGGAAATGAAAATCGATTCAAATACCCTATTCAACATGATTCCAATTGGACAGAAAGGCCTTTCTGGAGTTAGTTACTTTATAAAATTCAATTAAATATTTAATCAATTTACTTCGCGGAAAGGGGTTAGATATTGTCTCTTTTTTTTGTTAATGGCAACGGTCTAAATTTAGGCAAGGGGATCGATTTTTCTCTTTTCTGTTAGCGACTCGGTTCTTAATTTAAGCAAGAATTTTAATATATTTGCCATTGCTAAAAAGCGAACATAAAATAGAAGAATCCAAAATAACAAATCAAAGCAATTATTCATAGAAGGCATTCTCAAATATATCAGCTTTTATTATTCTTCAGCTAGCGAAAGTATACATTTGTGACAAATAAATATCCTAGCATATGGATAGATCGTTCAGTTATATATACTTCCTTATGAGAGCTAAATTATATTTTTTTAAATGATTATTATTTATATATTAATGTACATATTTTTATTGTATGTGATATTCGTTTTAACAAAGTTAATGTGAAAGTTAAGTGAATTCCTTGGGAAACACTTGTATATTCACAATAAGCTTTTTAACATCTTAAATAATATATTAAAATAAGTCTTTAATTTGTTCCAGCTTCTTTTAAATTTGTTCCAGCCTGACAAATTTGCCATTATATTTTTGGCTTTTTATTATTTTGTTTAAGACACGTTAGTTATTATTTGCCTTATTGTTATTATGCTCTTCCATCATTGTATCTCATCCGTCATTCAAGGCGTTTTTAATTGTTAGTTGCTGTTGTTGTTCCTATCAGTTCTGGTATAAGTTGAAAGCTCTTTGCAAATGCCACGCTGCGTAAACATGACGCACTCTTGACTTGGCCAACAGAGTTGGCCATTTGTTATCAATGTGTTTCAATCGTTTGGCTTACTTGGCCTTTTACCAGCGCCTACGCCTAAGCCCCAAAATAAGCCACTCGACATACGCATACTTAAGACACATCATATTGATAAGCCTTGGCCAACTTTTGGCAGGCCTCGCATTCTGTCTGCTTTCCACCAGCTCGGTTCTTTAGTTCCAGTTGTTTTTTTTAATAGTTTATCGACCTTAAGTGCATTAAAGTCATGCGAGGAACAATATGCTAATACATATTTTAGGATATTTCAGAAGAGGAATACGTCTGTGCTCTATAAGATCTCTTTACTGAGGAATTCAGACAGTTTCGTCAGGAAGAGTTTTAAATTGGTTTAAATAATAAAATAAGACAATAACAATTATGGAATTGGAATTTGTATGCATTTAAATCAGAAAAAGTCGATTCTATTTTCATGACAAAATTTATTGTTGGCAATTCGAGCAGCTTGTCGGCCTCTGCTTTTTTTAAAATTAATAAGGACACCTAAGGCTTTCTTTTTAGTACCTACATAAACTATGTTAGGCTTATAGAATTTGTATCAATTTATATTTGACTATATTTTCTTAAATTTAAGATAATTTACTAATGAAAAGCCTCCATATTCTGGTTTATAGTTTCCCATAATTATACTTATATTTATAGCATGGGACTTCTATGTTTTCTAAAACTGCTATAATTAAATGACTAAATCCTTGGTATTTAGACTATGAAGCTTTTGCTGTTGAGAGCTTTAAGTTTGTAGAGTTTTGTGAAAGCTCGCTTAGTTAGGTCGAAAAACTTTTTGGCATTACAAACCTATTGCAACTTGTTTAACAAATAGAACAGTTCATTTGAAGTTAATACTGATTTCTGTTATACACGAACTGTGATAATGTTATCCTTTTCCCGGAAAGCTTTTAATGTGGAATAGTTATGCCCTGCTGTGCTTGGACTTAGTTAGCTAACTTTTCGACCTGAATACTCCATCAAAGCACTGGCAAAAAACATATTCTGTTATATTATACAAACTGGGTATTGTGACCATTCAATAAGGTGTGAGCTTAAGAAAAAGTGTGTATATGCCAGTCTTTTGTTATAACATTTAAACTTTTATACTTTGAATGAGTTGTATAACAGTTTTTTGCAAAAGGGACTTTTCAATTACAACCATTATATGAATATATATCATACTCCAGTAGCATATAACAGTGTATAACTCGTAAGAGCTTGTGTTTGCTACGATTTCCAGGTAGCACACTTTGACTCCTTGAGTTACAAATTGTAGCAGCTGTTGCTATAAAACCACCTAGCCAATACTCAAACCTTATATGAAAGGCAAATACTATAACAACCCCTTAGGATTTACAATTTACACTTATATCGTGGACAAACATAAGACCAACCCCCAATTGTGTAGAATATTCCGTGCTCAGGTCTCCTTTAACAACCCCTTAGCATATACAATTTACACTTATATTGCGGACAAATATAAGACCAACCTCCAGTTGTGTAGAGTATTCAGAGCTCAAGTCCCCTCAGAGTTTGCGCTCATTTAGGGTTGTATTTGCCTTGCAGCATAAACTAATGAGTCGAATGTGTCTTAGCCAAATGCCACATGCAACCGCTGAAAGCCGAAGCTTTGGCTGCTAAAAAATGGCACGCATATAAATTGCACGTTATTATCCTAGCAACTGCAGCAGACGGACGCATCCCATGACGGTCACAATTCTTTCATTTATTTTTTTTTTTTTTTTTTTTTTTTTACTATTTTTAACAAGAAAACACAGCAAAATAGCTGCACAAAAAAATGTGGGTAGATAAATAGAAAGGGAAATAGAGAAAAACCAAAGCTTTTACTTTAATTAAATGCGTGCGTGTGCCGGCAAGTCCCAATTTAGAATTCTCTGCTGTTTTACTCAGTTGCTGCTGCTGTTGTTGTTGTTGTTGCAGTTTCTGATTAACGGCAGCTGCTTTGGCCCAACCCACTTTTCCGCCTTTGCCGCCCACATTTTGCATAGCATACTTTTATGCTGATTGAGTGCGGCTTATCTGCAAGTGAACGACGCCGGGACCAGGCCGTTACGCTCGCAAAGCCCTCTCGCAGTTATAACATAACTCATATGATCCCCCACCGTTATGTCAATTGTAAGCAAATCAGCGCCGAGGCCCATAAAAAACCGCAGCCGAAGACAAATGTTATTATTAAAATGGCCGGCGTGCATAAACAAAAAAGAAAACAATGGCAAAAACGCGTTATGCGAGGGCCGCAACTGAAGTATGCTCAAGGACAGAATGCAGT